TCACACCTTGTGCCTTCTCATCTCTTCCATATTTCTGCGCAGAATTTGTGGGAACATCTGCACATCTTCCATATAATGTCAGATTGAGGGTAGACTCCCAGAGCTAAACTCAGGCCACTGTCTGTCTGTATAGCTACAATTCATAGCCTGACTAGCCTGTCCAGGTTGCCATAACTACCCCCTCCCTCCCTACCCCACCCCACACACAAAGAAAAGGTCAGCCCACAGGATAAGTACTATTATCATTCTCATTTTACAGATAAAATATTGAGCTACATCATAGCAAAGCCAGGATTTGGACCCATGTGATCTTGCTCAAATCAAAGCTTAATCACTATGCCATGTTGCTTCTTTGTTAGGTGGTTAGGTGGCATGACTGTGGGAACATATGAATTACACATGCATGAAACCTTCAATATTTAATATTTTCAACATATTATTTAAGCTCCTTTTTTTTCTTAAGGTCTCAAAATGAACAAGAGGCTATGGGAAGATTGTGTAAGTCCTGAAGATGGTGAGATGAGAAAGAGGAGAGAGATTCACAGTTTAAGAATAGGTGGTGCTAACTTAAACAAGGAAAGGAAGAGTACATAAATAACATTGAGAACTGGTCCTTGGGCTTAACAATGGAAATGTCCATTCGTATATTCATTGGTGAACTAAAGTTTGAATCCACGCCTTCTATGCTGAAATTTCCTCCTCTATTACTCATATTCTTTTCATTATGAAGTCTGCCTTACTTCTGATATATAACATTTTGGTGTTCTTCTTTCTTGTTTAGATTTGTTTGAAGTGACTGAAAATTGTCTATAAGACAGAAATAAGTTTATTAATGATTTAGTTCTTCCATAAAACATAGATTTTTTTTCTTTTACTTCCTAACCCCACCCCATGCAATTGCACTTCATGAAAATATGAAATTGAATTATTGGTGGTTTTCTTTATATACATACCTTTATTCCCTTACATTTCTGGCCTTTGCACGAAATGTCCTTTCTGCTAATCGATGTCTTCCTGAATTCTCCTTGGCCTCTACTCCTTTCCCATGGTAGGCAAAGATTTGTCTCTTTCACCACTTCTGTTGTCCTTTAGGCATCATCCCTTTTGTGAAGACGTTCTTTTTCTTCTTCTTTTTTTTTTTAGAGACAAACTCTCCCTCTATTGCCCAGGCAGAGTGTAGTGGCATGAGCATAGCTCACTGTAACCTCACAATCCTTGTTTCCAGTGATCCTCCTGCCTCACCCTCCCAAATAGCTAAGACTACAGGCATGTGTCACTATGCGTGGTTAACTTTGTAGAGACAATATAGTTCTTGCTATATTGCCCAGTCAAATCTCAAATTCCTGAGCTCAAGCAATTCTTCCTTGACTACCAAAGTACATGAGCCACCACACCTAGCTAAGAATTTTTGATTTCCAAAGAAAGTTTCTGCTTCCTTTTTTGAGAGTGAAAGTAGTTACTATTAATAATAATGCTAGTACAGCACATGGTAAGCCAAGTCTATACTGGCTTGCAAGAGCCAATTTTGACATTTTCAAGAATTTGGCCAACTGGCTATTAAGCCCATCAGTGGCTTAAAATTGACCATGGTGAGTGTATTTGTATCATGGAAATCTGCAAATACAACGAATCTTTTTTTTTTGTTATTGTTTATTTTGTTCTTCTGGAGAGCTGGTTTATCAGCATATCTATTAAAATAATATGCCTATCATACATATATAAGTACTAATATAAAATACTAATATGGTAACTATAATTAAGCTAAATTAGGTAAACAATTAAGGTGATGCTATATTCTGCATATTTTACCTACTTTATAAAAGACAGTTTCATTTCTCTAAAAAAAAAGTTCCCCATAGTCAGGCTAGAACTTCAAGGGAAAAAAAAAGCTGTATTCTGAAGAATAGGTCTGCATTTACATACGCTATCGTCAACAAACAGCACAGCTATGGAACTGTGAAAGCAGACCTTTACAACCTGGCCTTTGAGTAATGACTTAATTAAAGTAGGATTAATATAAATCTTTTGGCAAGAAATAATGCTAGTGAAAGTAGGAAATATTCTGGCAATCTACTCTTTCAGCAGTCATTGTAGAGGGCATTGATAACAAGATGATAGAGTCAGTGTCAAACACTTGAAGATCTCCCAGAACAGAGGCTGATGTTTGCAAGCTATGCAAGAAGAAACAAGAAGCAAAGAAATAAAATTTGAATGACCACCACTAAATCAATGTGTCATATAACGTACTTTTGATAAAGACTCAGGAAAAATTTCTCTTAGGTCTTGGTAGCAGGCAAAGCTAATTTCTCTCCAATAATTGTCTCTAACTTTATGCACACTATGAATCCTGTAACATATTCTGTTTTCATTTTTTAATCTGATGACTAGGAGATAAGAGCGGTATTTGTAGCCTAAATATTTAACCTATGGAACCAGGAGTGCATAAGTGTGCATGCTAACTCAAACCTCACGTTTACTCATTTCTATCTTTATTTTTCCACTCTCTCTTTTTTTTAACCTTTATTTCTTCTTTAAGTGTATGCATTTTTGTAAATCACCCTAAGACCTTTACGTTCTGAAGTGGGGTCTAAAGAAATAGCACAGGCATGAGAAGGGCAGAGTAGCAGGTTCTGTATACCACATTTGCAGTGCTGGTTTCAAGGGAATATGATGCCCATTATTTCAGCTTTTGCTGAAAAAGGCCCTAAGATCCTAATGTCCAAACTAATTTTGTAGTTATGAAAACTAAATCAGAAAGGTTGGGATGTGATCAATGTAATATTCTAACAAAGGAATTACGGCAGGCCAAGATTTATCCTTCAAGCCCCTCTGTAATTACAAACATTGGAAAATGACTGGTAAATGGCATGCTGGTAGCTTAGGCAAATTATGTCTTCCTTGATGTCAAGGATAATGGTTCTCTGGGTAAACTTGTTTCCCAGTAGCAGGAATTTTATATTAACCTAATGATGCAATATAGATGTTTAATTTTAGCCTATACTGATTACTCTATAATCAAGTTATTGTTATGTTATCTCAACTATCCTTGTTAGTGTAAATAAGGCTTCACATATTAATTTTAACAGTCATAGGTATGTATGATTTACTTTTAAAAAGCAAACATTTGTTCCATCAGAATGTATAACTTTAGGCTACCTATTTAGCCATGATCACTCAAAAACACCCCAAACTGTCTTGATATTACGTAAATGAGTGCTTGTACCTGTGGAGAAAAGATGTGGCATTCAATATGGATGTTAGTTCAATAGGACAAATAAAACATGACATGTAAGACTCCATAAAATCAATGTTAATATTGACATACTGTTTTATTTCTAGGAATTTAAATGTTTTATACCTGAAGTAACTTTAATATAAGTAGACAATGATTTTTATCATTTATATATACTTTAGCTAGCTAAAAGGCCCCTTTTCTTCACATTGGACTATAACTGATATTTTTACAAGGTTAGAAAATTCAGAATCTTTTATAGAAGATGGCAAGGTAAAGAAATTTGGTGGGGAATAGAAAACAAAGGAGATATATACAGAGTTATAGATATTGACATTTTAGAATCACCTTTTGTCAGTGGGCTTATTTATGTAAATAATGCTGTGGGAATAGAGAGAGAAAAGGTAAGCATGGTCTAGATTTTGAAATAAACCTAGCCTCTTTCATAACAAATCCAAAAGAGCCAGTGTTAATCTAGCAATTACTCGACATTAAAGGCATATTTAGGGTAAGTACTTAAATTGAAACATGACCTATTTTAGGACAGACTTCTAATTATTTCCTGGAATTCACAGACATGAAGCGATTGAACAGTTTTCAGTGTAGCCCCTATTTTGTAAGGTGCACTTTTCAACAGTGTTTTTACTTTTTAAAATTAAACTGTTTAATAGGCCAATTCAAAAGACAAAAAATATATAGGTTTATTTTACTTCTCTTTAAAAACATATACATGTATTAGCATGGGGAAAATACTGTATTTTCTTATAACTTAAAATGTCTACTATGTAAGGTAGGTCCATAAAATTTACACTGGCATTTAGCTGGGAAATACTAGAATCTGGCTACATCTGTGGAGAACGGGAAGGCAATTTTGCAACTTTTTATTCTGTACATACACATTTATGGCAATCACAATATGTTCATATTATATATCTGATTTTATCTCTTAATTAAGGTATATGTTATTATTACCAATTGACAATTTTTACTATAGGGATAAATTATAAAATAATGTGCCCAAGGTTACAAGGTGATAAGGCTAGAATTAATTCATATTTTTCTCAGCAGCTGTCATTTATGCAAATAGGTGTGCTGGGTATTAGAAACACATGGATATATAAAATTCTGTTCTACAATAGTAGATACAAAAGGCAATGGACCAAGAATTCTGTCTATTTCCAAGTCGATTGCTTTAGATTTTATTTTTCTCATTCCTGATTGTTTTAGATAAAAGATAAATGAAATTATTATATCATCAACTGCGTTAGAAAGTCAGGAAGCTGCATGTGACCAGAGAAGAAGGAGCATATTTAACAGAGAAAAAGACAGACAGAAAGTGGATGGTGGGGGAAGAGAGAAATAAATGATGCATCTCTGAAACATCAGACTCAACCATATTAAAATATGTAATATAACTTCATGTTGACTCTGCCTCTTGCCACATTTATGCTGTCATTTAGAATTTCTCTGAACATAGTTAACTGATCATATGTGAAAACTGTAATGTTTATGTGATTTTAAATTTTTCTTTTATAAATGAATAGGTGGTATGTTAAGAAACACAATTTCCACTCTTAGAACTTGGTGGCATGAGTTCCTGACTGAAATGAGAAAAGAATGGGCAGAAGTTTTAAAATACACTTCTTTCCTCCACATTGTTCTAAGATCAGAGGTTGCAGGCTTTTATTATCAGGCTGAAATACTTGACATGTAAATGTGAAAATAGTGACTGATTTTTATCCCCACCTGACAGAGTAATGAGAAATCATCTTTTCAAATGAAAATTTATTTTGAAACATTGTGCAGTGAATAACAATGCATTTTAACTTAAAATTTCTAATTCAGATTCTTCATACAGTAACATAATACTTGTTAAGGAAGAACAGGTGTTTGGATAAAGAAATTGGGAAAGCAGTGAATGTGTTTATAGATTTTTCAAACTATAGACAAATGTTCAAGTCTTCCATACATGTGCTTAAGGTACCATGAATTTAAAGTAAATTGCAACGATAAAAATACCAGTCTATAACTAAAAATTCTTATGATAAAGATCAAAGTCAACTAATGAAAACCAGTTCAAAAAAATTAGAACTGAAATTTCACATACCAATTGGTAATAAAATGGAATATCAATAAAAAGTATAAGACCTCAATATTATTTTGAACCTATCCCTCAGCCTTATCGCTGTGTTATTTGCAGGCACCAATAGGCATCTGTCCTGAGAATAGATTATTAGCACTTTCTGCCTATTTTACTAATTAAATTCAAGTGATATATAAATCCCACTTATGTTATAAAGTGCAGAAGGTGAAGCAGAGAAAGAAAAATCAAAGCTCATGAAATAAAAGAAAGAAAATGTCTTCCCTTGAGAGTCAATATTCAATTACTTCTGGCTCTACGATATAAACATGTCTTTAAACAATATTTTAAGAATAACTACTGAATCACCTTTGGAACAACCACTTAAGTAAATAATATATTTTAACATCTCTGTGAACAATGTAGTATAATAACATGAGTGAAATATCACATATAAAATTCAAGGCAAACTTGTTTCTGTGTTTTAAAAAGATGGTTTTGGCCAACCTACAGTTGCAATTCCTTAAGAGCTCTCAGAGTCTGTACTTAATGAAAAAGACAAGTCAAAAGGGAGATTAGCATCTGTGATCTGATGGTCATTGAGCCACCAATGTCCTATGTCACTCTGACCATATTTTCTCATTCTTCCTCTGCTTTCCCTTGATGCCCACAAGACCATCTAAAAGCAATGGGTGGCAATATCAGTCATTATATCATTCTGTTCTCATCTTGATTAGCCAAGACCTGCTGTTTCTTCTACCTGATTGAAGCTAGTGCTGATTGAGAAAAACAGGAAAACCTTCCTACACCTTTCTAGGAAAAATAACACCAATTTTGTTATAAACATTTACATTAAAACATTATTTATATGAAGTATTTTTAAGATTAAATATACTTGAGTATTCCCTCTGGGTTTCATATTTTTAATCCTAAATCAGGGATTTATAGGCTAGTGAAAGTTCTGTCAAAGTAACTATTTAATTGGTCCAGATTTATTTAGTTAGTAATAATGTTGCTGCTTTGACTACTTTACCCAAAAATACGCTGAACAAATATACGGTTTGGTTGCTCTGTTTAAATTCTGCTTCTCTTTATACTATCTCCATTAACTAAGGAATAGATTGATCTCATGATTATTTTTACTGAAAGGATCAAGCTTAAATTACTGAAATGTGTTTGCTAAGTGGCTTGTAAAATTTTGCATATTTTCTCATAAAAATTGTAGTTTAAAATACAGTGACATGTCATATATCAGGCCACTAGACTTCTGCCAACATCAGATTTCCAAATCTACTGGTCACCAAAAAAAAGTGTCTAAGTATCACAAAACATTTGCTTGAATCCATGTACCTAATTCCCATCTTAAGCTTCATGATTTTCCAATCATTAACAAAAACCACAAACTTTTCCACTAGGATTCTAGAAACTGTAAACTAAAAGAAAATAAATGTGAGAAAGTCACAACAGAGAAAGTCAAAAGTCACAGCCAGAAATCGAAGGACAAAAACACAATATGAAGCTGTATATAGAGAAACTATCATGGGATGCTGACTGAGATGACCTGGGGGCATCAAGATAATATTACATTATATTTGGTGACCTCTGATTGAATTAGTAGGGAAATCTATGCTTAATCTAATTCCTATACAAAGTATTTTATACTAAAAGCCATTGCTTTGGTGCTTGAAGGAGTAAGCTCTGGACTTTATTATAGATCATTGCTTCTCAAAATGTAATATGCATATAAGCCACCTTAGGATCTTTTGAAACTGTGGATTCTTGTTTGATAGGCCAGGAGGTGTGGTCATGATTCTATGTTTCTAATAATCATCTCCTAGTAACGCTATTAGGGTTTTTTTCTTTACTTTTTTTTTTTTGGCAAGGGTATGGAATGCATTAATTTTCAACAAAATAAGATAAATGAGATGTTACTGTATTTGATCTCAAATATTTTCTTGGAAATCTGAAATAAAACCATACTATTACAAGTCAGCAAGTTTATGTTAATACAATTCACTTTGGAAATGAGGAAATAGCATAATAATAACAGTTTTTAAGATGTGAAACATGTAAGAGGGGAATAAATAATGATGCATTATTCAATCCTTCAACCTTATATTAAGCATGCATGAGGGAATTTCATTAAGACCTGAACTTCGTCAATACTGTGCAAAATTTGAGGTGAGCTACATCTATATCATACTAAGTAATATTCAGTAGAATTCTGAATTCTTTTAATCTATGTTGTTTCATTCTTTTTACATCTGGAAAATAAGCAACACACAAGGTAAGTTTTTTTTTTTTTAAGGATATTCTGTTTTCATTTCTATTTATGATGAAACACTGTGCTTTGTTCAATGGTAAAAAAAATCAAGACTATGTTCTTTGATTTTAAAAAATGCCCAGGCAATGATTTCCTGTTTCTGGACTTTAGGCACATAATATGTGCGTTAAATATTCTATAAACTGAAGATGGAAGAAATTAAACACAACATCTGAAGTTATGAATTCATAGCCTTTATAGGCTTCGTATATTATATAAATTTTGACCCTGCCAAATTCCTTTATTCTGATATGCTGAGTTTACAAACTATTCAAGTCCAGTGACATTAATGTGAGACTTCCCTAACCTTGCCATGTCTTCCATTATGAAATTGTTGTTGTAGATGTTTTATTGCTTATTTGAACCTTTCTCACTTCTCTAAAAGCTTCTGCTAAGGGTGAGACTTCTGTGTTGCACCAAACAATAATTTAACCTCAAGTGATTAAACTAAATTATCTACCATATTTGATATGGGGTGGAAGGACCAGAGGATATTATTGTAAATAATATTGATAAAAAGAGATATGACTTCAAGTGGTTTTCTAAAGGGTCAATAAATATATGTATTTATGGTAAAATGTGAAAACCTTTATACTGGACAATAAAGAAAACAATCTCATGATTTAAAATAATTTACAGGTGATTCCCTCATTTACTATTACTTTGCAATTCCATCTTTCATTTAAAAAACTAGGGCAGTACAGAGAGCAACTGTATAAACTCATTGCCTGTAAATATCCTCTAATTAATTGTTTTTCCCTTTTGGCTATGAAAATAAAATTACATGTACCAAATAGGTTTTGTGGAGCTTGAAATAAAGCATAATCTAGGTTAATCTATCAAATATAAATGATTACTTAGTAATTATTTCTGGTTTATTAAAATGAAAAAAATTCAAGACCCAACAAAACAGCTAAACATTTAAATGATAGGTTATTTAGTGAGAGTAGGTCCAAAAGGATTTTCTGGGGAAAAAACAGTTAACAATGCGAGTGCAAATCTGTCTCTTTTAAAACTGTAAAGCATATTGTTCAAAGTTTTAGCTTGTGTGCATGATATAAATTCCATACATTGTTTTCTCAGTGACAATAAAAAGCACAGTTTATTAAAAACTGAAGTAAAAATTAAAATAACTTTTTAAAAACTTGGTCACAGTTTTGTCATTGGTATATGAAGGTTGTTCCAGGGGCCCATCCAAAGCTCTTCATCATCCGACTGTGTGTGATCACTATGAAATTCCAAAGCCTCCTTGATGTTCTTACTGTCAATCATGGACTCCTGTTCAACTGTGCTTTTCAGCCTGTTGCCCATTGGCTTCACCACTGTATTGTCAGTCCCCACAGGGCAAGGGGCAAATGTAACCAGAGTTGGCCTTGCATTCATTTTCTCAGTAGAAAATGGCCCCTTTGATAATGTGTTCAGAGGCACATTCTCCTCATGTGTCACTGCCAATTTGTCTACTTTCTTAAAGTGCCTTCCCAATCGAACAGGGGAAGCAACTTTTAAGTTGTCTGTGAGACAGGCACGGCGGGTTCTCACCACAGAACCATTCTGTGCAATATATATATTGCCATTGATATTACTGTGGATATTGGAATGGTGAAGACGGTTTCTCTGACATTCAGGAGCGCTGTCTTCTCCAGTGGAGCTGCTTTCATACTCTCGATCAACAACTAACTTGATCATTCTTTTTCTTGCCCACTGACAAAACAAGAAAAAATATGAGTTACTATCAAATAAATTAAAAAGGCAAAGATTGCACTGCTTGTGAAATCCAAAACAATGACATTTAGAAAGCTATCAAAGGTAAATCATTCAAGAGAGATGGAAGCAAGTCTTTATTAACATATATTTCTTTTCACCAATTCTTTACTGGCTTTAGAGCTTATTAATGTTTGAAAAATGTATTGCTGAGTTGGAAAGCAGACATTTCAGGAAACACATATATTCTTTTAGATCAAATTACTGATCCAAATTACTGGAAAAAAATGTATTATTTTTATATAAGGATCAGATCCACTATTTGACAGCTGCTATATTATTCAAGGAAGTTAAATTGAAAGGAATGAACAGCTTTAGTAGATTGTGTTCATACTAATGCTTCTGTTCCAGGATTTAAAAAATATTTTGAAACCATATGATTCTAATTGTTAATGTATTCTCTACTTAGCCAAAACTTTTGTGTACTTTAATGTATTCATGTACTTGAAGTATCCTGATTTTCTGGGTTGTCCCATTTAGATATGTTTTCTGTTTTGTTTTGGTTTGTTATACTTTTATATTTTTCTTTTGTAGTTGGCGTATGGAAAATCAACTGGGAAATCATAATATTGGAGTATTTTAAGGTCATGCTATTATAGATATTAACAAGCTTATTTATACAATAAGACCTCTGCAGAGCGCATTTAGATCTATGAACTTAAAATAAAATATCTTCTCAGTCTGCATAATTTACCTAGTAAAACAGAAAACTGACAGCTAATTTTACTAAACTTTCCTTTTGTAAGCAACTGGAATTCAATGGACGTTTTCACAAATTAATTTGAAGTTCACCAATCAACATTAGAAATAGTAAGAAGCAAGGGTCAAACAATACTGTGTTTTTTTTTTCAAAATAGTATTGCATTTTTGAAATATGTGAACTATCAACATGTTGCATGCATTCTGATTTTTAGATTTGTCTCTCAAAATTATTGTTTATTTACCTAGAAAAAATTTTATAATTGTTACATTTATTTTTAAATCTACTGTAACTCAGAATAACAGAAAATAAGCTATAATAACTTTTAACTGAAAAACGTTATTTCATTTAACTCCTAGTGTTTGAAGTTGCAGATACAAACTTATTTAAACATGTTCATGATGCTTTTTATAATATCTTTGCCAGATGAAATGTAAATACATCCAAAAATAGACTGTTAAAGATAAAATTTGTTGGAGACTGTCTTAGTATTTATTTTGAAAGATGATATAAAAACATGTATAATATATATATGCCATCCATTCTAATAGAGTGTCACTGATAATACATAATGCCACGTTGCATTAACAAAAATCCCACCAGTAAATGTTAAATATTAATTAGCTGATTGCATATGTTCTGATTTACTAATATAGGAAGGTTTAGTCAGTTTTACTCTAATACAGTCTAATATACAAATCAATTTGGACAGCATATATATTCACTTTTCTGGCATGCTTCTGATCATAAGCCATATCAAAATCATGATTAATTTCCTCCCTTTCAAATGTCACTTTAGAGAACACACGGAAGACACTGCACACGAGAGCACTCATCACAGCAAAACTCCCACCTACTGTGATCTCTTTTAAAGTGCTGTGTTGTAACCTTCAGAGTTTGCTCCTGGCGATTTTTTTTGGTTTGCATTCTTGCTTCTGTCATACGCTGGCACCTGATAGCCCCAAGGACCTCCAGACTGACTTTCACTACTACTGCTACTACCCGATTCTGATTCCTCCTCACTTTCCACACCTCCTTCCACTGAAGCTGATTCTGCACTGCCCTTTTCAGGGACATCTTGAGCTTCGAGGTCTGTAATTTCTTCCACAGGGGCCAGTCCACTTTCTTCTTCTTCTGAGAGTTCTTCTTCTTCCACCTTAGGTTCTTTTTGTTCTTCTTGTGGCTCCTCCTCCTTCCTTCTCTTGACTTCCTTGACCTCCTCAACAACGGGCCTTCTTCTTGCAAGCACAATGTTTTTCCTTGCTTTTTCTCCTTCTGACTCCTCTGTGGATTCGGATTCTTCTGATTCAGGGGTAGAACTCTCCTCCTCAGAGGGTGTCTCTGACTCAGATTCCTCTTCCGTAGTCTCAGACTCACTGAACTCAGATTCTTCTTCACTGTATTCAGTGTAGTCGCTGGAAGATTCCTCCTCTGATTCTACAGTGCTTTCTGTTGCTTCCTCTTGATCCAGAGTGAGTTTCAGATAATCTTTATCTTCTTCTTCAAGACGTCTCTGCCACTCTTCCCCCTCAAGGTCAGCGATGCCTCTTTTATCAGCTAACCCTCTAACTTTCTTAAAAATCATGGGGAATATCCTGGCTCTCTTCCATGTTGTGTATGTAGGTTCAGCAGCTGGTGGCTTTTCGATAGTTACAACTACTTCTTCCTCCTCGCTAGGTTCTCTAATTTCAACTTTCGGTTTTTTAATTTTCTTTGGCTCTTCCTGGAAATTGTGAAAATGCAATTGAAGTGTCAGCTTGGGGATAGCTATGATATGACCTTGTCTCATGTAAGTTACGCAGGAAGGAATCTGCAGGTGATAGCTTTATGCATGTTATATAACAGGCTTAAGAAAACAATCAAAAAATTTCTACTGCATATAGACAGAAGGTGATTAGGAGAAAGTAAGTTATTTTATTTTGGCTCATACTTTACAATACCCAAATCTATTAATTTTCCTTTTTTTTTAAAATTACTCAAAGTTTATTTTGTATCTTAGATCAAATTAAAAAGAATTATTGCCTCTTCCTTCTTCTATCAGTAGACTGGTTAATAGCTTTCTATATACTGTTAAACTAAACTCTAAGAATTTTAAATAATCACGAAAAAAATGTCAATTTATCTCATTTTATGAGAAATCTATCTTATTAAATTTTGGACATGTTAAAGCTACAGTGACATTTATTTGTTCTTATTGCATAAGTTTGCAAAATAAAGACAAAGTATAATAACTTTATAGAAATGACTCATGGCAATTTAAACATAAATTATATAATTCCTTGAAAATTATTAGTGGAAATAATTTACTTTTCTCTGATAATTGAAAGATGGAGACTATATTTTTTCATCACTTTTACTTTTGCCAGATAATGTGGGAACACAGGTAACTATTGTGTTGCAGAACTTTAAAATATATTTGATTATATCTTTAAGAAGCAAGCTTTCAAATTTTAGAAAACAATTTTTAAAATTTATTGTAACAAATATTTTCAAATGTTTAACATTTTATGGCAGGAAAACATTATCAAGAATTAATATTCCTCCAAACACAAGGCAAAAGCATTCAGCACTGTTAAATTTCTATGGAAAACAAGTGCTAAATGAATGGAATTTCTGAAAGTTGAAATGTTCTATGGCTGCTAGTCATGTAGGGTTAAACAATATATTTCTTGGAATATTATCTTACATAATAGAATTACAGTAATTACCTCTTCCTCCTCATATTCTTCCTCAGCTTCGCCAACCATCTCACCATATTCCTCCTGTCCAGCCGGCGGTAACAATCGACGGCGACTCCCATATTGAGGCATTTCATACCTGTAACAGAAACTTAGAGCTTTAAACAGTTTGCCATGAGATTTCTGTAGAATCTATCATGAATGATCTCTGTTTTCTTCTTTTGCTTCCACCATTCAATTGACAGGTATTTATACAGTACCTATTAAGCTCCTTGTAAATGAGTTACAAAACTATAGAGTAAGAACTACTACCTGATGACCAACGATTTTTGCCATAATGGTATCCTGGAATAACAATAAAGAGAGTTAATTCAGATATTAGTTTTTAGAGAAACTAGAATGAGGAAAACCCATATTGTGTCTTAATAATTGTAGCTGAATAATTGTATTTTGTACTAACTATTGTAGCTGAATAATTCAGTACACAAAATAGATATTTTGGAAAAGTGTAATAGCTCATTCAGAACATAACATCTGTATATTAATAGCAGTAGGTTGCTTCAAACATGGTCTGTAATGGTCTTCACATTTTTCTTCAGGATTTTTTTTTAAAGTACAAAATTTATATGTGTATAAGTGACTTGAGATACTTATCACTGGAATCTAAGGTATGTTTTCTGCTTCTTAAATGTTCTTGGGCAAAACTTTAAACTGACTGATTAGATAAAACATTAACATCTCATATGAAACAGATGGTGAATTCAGGAATTGAGCAAATATGTTTGACATCTATTTTCCATCTAAATAAGTTTGAGTAATTTTACCACATTTCTAGAATTGCAATCAATGTCAACGTAAAATATCGGTATGGAACTCAATATAGAAAAATGGTTAAAACCTGGCTGAAATTAAAGCTAGATAAACTACTAATTTTCAAATATTAAACAAGTGATATCAACATAACATTAAAAACAAATTCTAGTAATCATTTAATAACTTATTAGTAGAGTATTAAAATATGAATCTGAATAAATAAATCTGAAGATGTACCCATGTTCATAACTGTAATAATCTTGTCCATATTCCTGGCCAGGATCAATTCCAGATTCCATGGATAATTCCTATTGTTCAAAAAGAAAAACTGCATTTGAAAACAAATTCTTGTTACGTTTCAGCTCAAAGTCAGATTTCCACACCTAGAATTCGATGACTCTCAAAACACTCCTGCCAAAATAACTTTAAATACAAGTGTTAGTTAAAGCAATTAAAATAATGCTATTTAAAAGTGTTAAACATATTCCTTTTTTTCTTTCTGTAACTATTTTATATAAAATAAGGTTATGTTATTTGACCTGAAGGGGAAAAGAGTAATTTTTTCTCATGGCAAATCTGTTAAAACTTGCAGATGATCATTTCTTTTTGGATGTCAGTTAATAATTTAAGTTAAAATTCAGTTAAATATTAAGTGATGTTGGCCTTGAGGAAAATTATAACACTAGATCTATAGCATTTGTTCACCTTTGCACTCACAGTTGTCTAGTACACAGTATTCTTCCATTCATTAAAACTGTTTTGATAAACATCATCTGATAACAAGAATTTAAGTTAATGTGTAATGTTTCCCAAGAATGTTTATACTTTAAACATATTGCTAACTCTAAATTTAAGATTTTTAAAGAAAAAAAAGAATTTGTTAGAATAGAGGCCCTTTTAATATTTCCGGTTCTAAACTCTAAACGTACTAATTTTTGCCAAACTCTGCTCTTATATAAAGGTGCTTTTCTTGAGACGCATTTGTGAAGACAGTTTCTGATAACTATCAAATACAGTAATCCCTACATTTCTTTTTTAAGCTCTACTTTAACATGTTAATTTAAATGGCAAAGGTTAAGCAAATTAATTTTGCAATGGAATGAGAGAAGAGAGGAAGAAAAGTATAGGTACTCACAGGAAAATAGATTGGCATATATTTTTATTATCTATTATTTATAAAATTTTAATTGTGTTGATCCAGTAATAGTAATGTCAGGAAAAAGTGCCCTTCTCTGCGGGAATAACTATGTCATTTACAAAGTGTGGAAATTTACAGCCTGCACAATGGATATAGACAAGGATTCTCAGTTGTGCTTGGTGTGACCAACATCATTTTTAAAGACTGAATTCATTGCTAATAATGCCAATCAGAAAATGACACCAAAAATGTGGATGTTGGTTTCTCTTGAAAAATAAAAAGATGGCAACACTAGGATATTTTTACATTCCAAGAATCTAGTTGGCCAAACTAATTTTTACAGCAAGCATGTTCTCTCCTGTTGATGACAGTATCCCCTACTATCTTTTCTACATTTATACCATAGTTGCTATGAAATCTGCCATCTGCTATTGCTTTGTGTCTAATAAACTCCATTCACTTACATTACTACCCTAGATCCTATAGTTATTTACGTTTGCTTTAGCTCTTCTATCTTATAATTTTACAGTTTACAAATACTTTGTAAACCTACTCTAAAGGAATCCAATTTTTACATTAAAACTAGTACAGTTTATTCATTTTAAATGACTAACATTTTTTTAAAAAACCACAATGAACAATACTATGTATTTGCAGGGACACGGAACAACTAAAACTCTCATATATGTCTGGGGAGATTATTAATTGGTAAAACATTTTAGACTATGTTTTGCAATAGTACTAAAGTTAAATATAATCATTTCTTCTTTTGCGGAACTTAAATTTGTAAATACTCAACAGAAATATGTACATTTATGACAAACACATTATTCATAACAGTCCCAAATTGGAAACAATGTAAAAGTCCATGAGATAAACATGCTACTACAATACACAGCAACATAAGTTGCTCTCCCAAACAGAATGTTGAGCAATGTAGGTTAGGTACCAATGAAAGACATTATATTACTGTATTTATATAAACTTCAAGAACAGATGAAAGGATATATTACATGCCAGGTCAGTGGCTGGGGAAGGAGAACTTATATCTAGATGTTGACATACAGCAGCATACAGGCATGTGCACTTTGTAAAAATTCATCTAGGTATACAGTATGGTTTATACTTTTTCTTGGGTGTACATTTTATTTTAATAAAAAATATGTTTATTATAGGAAGGTTGAGGTGGGGAAAGGAATGAGGTTAAGAAAGTCCTGGAAGAAACTGGGACAAAGTTAAAGTCTAGGTTTATGTTATTTCAAACTAAGTACTTTGTAAAAAACATGTGTCCTATTGGTAAACTAAGAATTTTAAGGCATGTAAAACCCAGTGTAATGATACTGGTTTAAATGAAGCAAATAGGTCTCAGAACTAATATTTCTAAACTGCTTGACCAATGCATGTTTAATTAAATACATACAGATACTAAGAAAATAACTTCAAACAGTTTGAAGTCGACTTTTAACAACATTTAATAATAGTCGACTTTTAACAACATTTAATAAAAGTAAAAAAAAAAAAATAGGAAGACAAAAAAAATAAAAATTTCAAGCAAATATTTATGAAGAAATAATGCAACTTAGTGGATTTCAGATTTAGAAGTCAGAATCAAAGAATTTTCTTTACTCTTGCTAACTACAATGCAGATCTGGCATCAACAACTGCTTTAAAATGTAGTAAGAGTCCAGGGGCAGTGGCTCACGCCTGTTATCCAGCACTTTGGGATGCTGAGGCGGGCGAATCACGTGGTCTGGAGATAGAGACTATCGTGTTCAACATGGTAAAACTCGGTCTCTACTAAAATACAATACATAATTAGCCGGGCCTGGTGGTGTACACCTGTAGTCCTAGCTACTCAAGAGGCTGAGGCAGGGGAATTGCTTAAACCCGGGAGGTGGAGGTTGCAGTGAATAGAGATCATGCCACTGCACTCCAGCCTGGCGACAGAGCGAGTCTCTGTCGAAAGAAAAAATGCAATAAGAAGGATCAAAGGGATGGGGATGAGAACCCAGGAAACTCAGCAAGATAGCCCTTGATTCAGTCACTCACTCTGTAGTTCTGAGTTGAGTAAAGAGCGATAGGAGCTAGCAGGAGGAAATAATCAAAACCTTAAAAAAAAATTGAGGACTGGTGACCAGTCAGATCCCTGAGTCAGCAATGGAATGGTGGCCCTTTTTTGCTGTTCTTACAGTCCCGGTTGACTATAACAACCCCTTACTTGCTGAAATCTAGATTTTAGAAAAGTATGCAGAGTAACATACTAAAAAGTGATTATGGGGGTAGATCAAACAATGTGATTTTTAAATTTCATTTTTCCTGTCCACACAGGGAAGACATAGAATTAACTTAGTATTTAATTATGATCAACATTAATGCTGATGAAAAAGAAAAACAATAATTATCATTTACTGGATTTCTTCCTGGCACATTCCAGTTGTTGAGCTAGGAACTTTTACATATTAGATATCACTGGCAACATTTTATAGAAGATGAAATTGATGTTTGGCAGATGTATTTCTTGATTAAGATCTTGCATAAAGTAATTGGAGTTTGGATTTCAATCCTGAGTTTTCTAATTCAACATTTAATGGAGACCTCTCTATGGAAATTTTTGCTAAAACCTTATAAAATTCTAATATTTCTGCCACCCAACCTCCAGATTTTGGGGAATAGATTTTAACCAAGAAATGCCTCTCTTTAACAAAGATAGAATTCTGTATTCAAATAAAAGGAACAGAATTTTTGTAAGTGAGGCTTACAAAATAACAAATTTGCCAAGAAAGAAAATAGTAGGATGATTGTACTTATTTTTATTTTTAAATCATGTATATAAACATAAATAAAAATAATATGTATTTATTCAACTAAATATCTTTTTCACATTACAGAAGAAAATGCCATAGGCAATTTGTAATATATATATGTCCAAAAGCAGTATTTTGAATCACATAAAATGATATTTCAGTACAGATATCAGCATTCTCTCTTTAAACTTTACATAATCTAAATCTGATGTCAGAAATAGATAGATGAATCCAGATTGATTTAAGACAAGTAACTACAGATCAGGTTCATTAATTGCTTCATTCAATGAACAGCTTGTATTTATTAGGAACAATGGCCTTATTTTTCTAAATCCCAGAGAATGAAGATAAAAATGTGAAAGTTGAGCTACCAACAACTCGGGGAGATGATTTTTGGGTTTCTTTTTTTTTTTTTTTAAGTTACTTGGAAAGACTCTTTCCTCTTCCTTGTAAAATTATGCCGCATTGGCAGACACTCACTCTGCCTGCATGAATTTTTAATACAATAGATCTTAAAGTCACAGTGAAGACTCAGTGAGGTTGAAAAGAAAATGAAAATTGATACCTCTGGTTTAAGAAGAGAGGGTCTCAGCAGTTGCTGTTGCTGTCAAAGGAAATTAAAATAGAAAAAGATTTAGAAAGTAATTCAGATGGAAAAGATAGATCATGATTGAGAAGAGAGGAAAGAAAGGCGACAGTTTAAAACGTGTTACCTTGGGATTATGATTCATTATTCATGTGTTAGCTACCAAAAGCAGTCAATATTTTGACGAATTCTTTATAGTGCCACAGAAAATAATAATTCATTTGTTTTAATTACATCACTCTTTTAGTTAATGACAAATTTAATAGCCTTAATAAACAAGAATCTAGAAAGATTTATTTTTTGTTAAGCCTCACAGTACAGAGTTATTTATGTTTCTAAAAGTGCTTTGTGTCATATAATCACTTTTATCAAGTTTAACCTTGTTTTAAGTTGCCCTTCTTTTTTTCCTTCCCCATCACATTAAATATGATCAGGTTCATTGGGAAGAAGAGTAGAACACAAAAAAATGATAAAGTTGTAATGTATCATCATCATATTTAAGACATGCTCTCCATTCCTTCTTCTTACCAAAGTGTGGATTTCTTGCATTAAAACATTACATGTGTTTTCAAAATGATTAGGAAAGTCATTCATTATCAGATTTGTTGGGAATTGCTTCCTGCCTCTTACTTCTTTCATTTGTATTTATTTAAAGGGTAATACAGTCACCATTGAGCTGTTTCATGATAACTAAGTCTTTAGTCAGATAGGAACAAGATACACAATTCAAATTTTGGGGTTAGTAACTCTTTGGAGGGAAAAACAGCATATCTTAAAATAAATATTGGAAAAGTGGGTAGTGAGGTTCTGCGAGGTAATCCATCATTGAACCCACCATTTAAACTGGCTAGTAGAACAACTATTTGACTGAAGGGATGTCCTTTTTATAATATAGTTGTTGGTGAGTTATTTTACTCATGATTCATTCTAAACTATAATCCAATTAGGTCATATAATTATTAGGACGTATACTTCTCTTGATTGAGAAGCTGTATGCTAAATCAAACTAGGTTCACAGTGACTTCATTGATAACATCACTTGCAGTACAGCTAGCCAAATACCTTTGGCCAGAATGCCCAGCAGGTTCTCTGCAAACAGAATAAAATTAACACAGTAGAAAAACCAAAGCTTTCTAACGTTCTGATTATTTTAAAAATCTTTAGGATCTCAAGCTTTAACATTGTGATAGGATGGAGCCTTGGACTGGTAAAAAGATCAAAAGTTAGGTAGTCCTAGTTTCTTTTTTTTCTTTTTGAGACAGTCTCACTCTGCTGCCCAGGCTGTAGTGCAGTGGCACAATCTTGGCTTACTGCAATCTCCACTTTCTGGGTTCAAGCGATCCTCCTGCCTCAGCGTCTGAGTAGCTGGGACTACAGGCAGTAATCCTAGTTTCTAAATAAGATACATAGCCTTAGACAAACAAATGTGGGGAAATGTCAGCATACTGAGCCAAAAGGAAAAAAGAACAAAATAAAGGTAAGCAACTGATCTTTAACCACTGAATAACTGATTTAAAACTTCAAAACAAGGAAGCAACGTATATAAGAGAAAAATTAATAACATACTTATAAGTTTTTGTTGAAATCAAAGAAAATAACCGAGTTCAAAAGAATGTACATTAGTCCTGTCTCTTACACCGATATATTCCTAGTACGCTTGATATGACAGTATCACCATAAAGCCCTTACCTCTGATGCATAACCTCTCCTGCAAGGCAGAAATAAATAAATCAGTATTAAACATCTTAGATTTTCATATTAAATAAAATGATAAGGGCTTTTAAAAAATCTGAGTAAAACTGAGAAGATAATTTCTACTAAACGCTATCTCAGTGGGAACTATATTTTGTGGCATTGTCAAAACAGGAAGATCATGGTTTCATGCCTGAATTACTAAAATAATAATCAACCTGGAGCCTAGTTCCATATGAACAAGAAAACATGCAAAATCTATTTTATTTCAATAGTGTATAATGACAAACTTAGACTCTGTTATTATCAACTGGGATAAAAATATTATACACTATTTCTGTTATACACAAGTCTCAATACATATACTAATCCTTAGGGGAAGAGATATGTTTCATACATGAAGAATGTAATAAACACAGGATGAAAATTATCTCCATGACTTGAATATATTCTTTCAAATGATTGTATGATATGTTCTCTATGTTAATTTAATTCTAAAAATAATTAACACAAACTATTGACTGTCCTCTCCGGGTCAGTTATATTATTAGAAATTGAGTAAAGAAGGTTTTAGAGCTTTAATAGCCAAATATTCAATATAACATAGAGATTTATAGAGTTCATACATCACAAGATGGTAAAACATTTGACTATATTTGAGAGAGAAAAAATAATATAGAGTTTTCAAAGTTAAATGTTACCAATAATGAAAATGTTCTGTTTGTTTATTTATTAGGCAGTTAATCTAAAGTGTTAAACTGACGCTGTCGACCATGTTATATAGAATTATTAGGTCTAATGAAGATTTCTTACAAAGAGACACATGCATAACCTCCTAAAGCTCAGCAAAACAATCTCTGTAAAAAATTAAAAAAAAATTTTGAGGCCTTCATCAAGTCTGCTTATCAGAAAGCATCTTATGTGGTTAACGCATTGTACATTGAAACCGTTAGTAAAACGTAAATACGATGCTTACTAAAGCTTCTCAATTTATTCTTTAAAATGGTTCTATAGTGAATTTGCAGAGTGCTTATACAGTTCTGCCAATACTTATAAGACTGATAATCCTTCCAGAGCCTTTTGAAATTTAGACATTTTCAACTTCTACCAAATTTATATTTTTAAGATATAACTCAAGTAGAGAAAGCTCATATTTAGGTTTTTTTTTTTTGAGACGGAGTTTCGCTCTTGTTACCCAGGTTGGAGTGCAATGGCGCAATCTCAGCTCACTGCAACCTCCGCCTCCTGGGTTCAGGCAATTCTCCTGCCTCAGCCTCCCGAGTAGCTGGGATTACAGGCACACGCCACCATGCCCAGCTAATTTTTTGTATTTTTAGTAGAGACGGGGTTTCACCATGTTGACCAGGATGGTCTCGATCTCTTGACCTCGTGATCCACCCGCCTTGGCCTCCCAAAGTGCTGGGATTACAGGCTTGAGCCACCGCGACCGGCCTATTTAGGTTTTAATAATGACAACTGAGTCATATAACTTAAAAAATATCCAACCATTGCTAGGTTTTATTTTTTAGAATATTTCTTCTGACTCATTTTATTAGCAATGCTTTCCATCAATGTGGAAAATAAAATATCAATAGGTAAACTATACTGTTCCCATGAACATTTTTGTTGCCTTTTATTCGGTTCTTAGCTCAAAGGCAGAAAGTTACTTGAAAGAGGTACATAACAGAACCGCTACTTACTTTATCTGTGTGCTTTCAAAACATGACTGTTGATACTTATACAGCCAGTTCATATAACAGTGATTCACCTTTTTATGCAATTTATAATCAATGTGTATTAATTATTTTATATCATTTATATGTATCACTGTTTAGTTTTAACAATACAGACAGACGTATGGTCATCTTTAAGTCTTTATTTAAAAGACTAATTATTTCTTATGCACTAATGGGATTATACTAAATATAGAGAAAAAAGTGTTATTTTTCTAGTTTCTGGTTGTCAGGTTGTAAGCAGTTAGATTTTGAGAGAAGGATGAATATTTAGGCTTGTGTACTCATATAATACTAAAATGTCTCATATAGAAGATATTTAAACTGACTTTTATGCTTCATAAAAACATTAGGAACCTCCAAATACAGTATGTCAGAAAAAGACTGGATTAAACATGGGTATCTATGTTTCAATTAAGAAGTATAGAATAATAAACTTTTCAATTATGAAAATAGTAAAATGTTATCCAAAAAGGCAATATACCAATTTAATAAGGCTTTAGGTACCTAAACAAACATGTTTTTCAGATTTCTCATATTTATTTTGTTACTATTTATAGATTTTTTTAAATCAAGAAATTATAAATTTTACATTTGCAAAATGTTGGTAGATGTTAGCTTTAAAAAGACACTCACATTAAAGGGTTACACAGTTGTGATTAATACCTTGTCAGAGTCCACCAAATAGCACAAGTTCTCATGCATATGACCAGCTGCCAACAAAAACTCCAACTGAAGTTTTTCAGTGAAAGAAAAAAAAAAAAAAAAATCATGTTCAAGAACCCCAAGGAAGTCATTACTCTTGATTTGGATGAAAAGAATTTCAAGCAGATGGGCTAATAAAAATAACTTAGATTTACAGATTGTTTTCTGTCAGATCTTGTTAACTAGAAATGCCAGGTCAAATTATTGAAGAAATATAAGGGCTAAAGGAAACCTCTGAAATGATGCATTGTAGGGCTCTCCACCTATATTTATATACTTCCAGTAATAATTATTAGGTATGACTTTGCCTGTATTTCAGAATTGTACCCTTCTCTGTGCAGACTTCTATCTTCTAAAATGTTAAAACTCCAAAGTAAAACAAATACTTATACGTGCATTGAAAATGTGAAACTTCCAGGAAATAAAACTTATTCCATGTATTTCATGGGAAAATCCAAGTAATTAGTTGATGATCACATATTATACATTATATATTAATATATATATTATTTGAGCTAAGATAGATCTCATTGAAAGTAACAGTTGGAGATCTAAGAACTATTACTACAACTACAGAAATTTCTTACCAGAGTATAAATTTTTATCTTCTTTGTTTAAAACAAAGAGCAGAAACCTCTGTAAAAAAAAGGTGATAGTTCACCAAATATAATTTCTCTTGATTTTTCTATTTAAGCTTTTTATATTTCATTTATTAAACTGGAGATAACTTTCTTTAGAAAGGCATCTTATGAAAAAATTTAAATTAAGGAGATGACGAATAATGCGAACAAGCAAAATTAAACAGCACTGTAAACATCTGTTGGAACAATGAAATGCCTTACAAAAGTCAACAACTCAAGATTTATTTTCATCATAAAGAAGGGAAGGGAAAGCACAATGAGAAATAAATAGAATAAGATAGCAATTGAAATTATATAAGATTTATCAAATCCATAAGCATACTAGTAAGATAAAAGCAAGCCAGAGTAGAAGATGTTCTTATCAGAAAACAGATGACTACATGTTATAGCACCTGAGATTTATTCTGAAATACCTTATGTGTGTCATCGCCTACATTCTAGGTACATTATATTCCACTTTGGTAGTATTTCTTTTTACCAAATACATAGGCTTCAAAAAAACCCAGAACCTATAATATCATTTTTAACTTATCTGTAACAGTCTGCTTTTTTCTTGGAACATTCATATAAAACTATGATCAAAAACTAACTGCATCCACATGATAGACATGCCTTTGGTTGAAGTTGGGTATCTAACTTTCATGCCCACATATTCCCACTAAAAAAGAGATTAAAATTACTTACTTTTCAAATAAATGTAGAACAAATAATGCTACTTTGTAGTTTAAAAATTAAGGTAAATCTATTATATGAGTTAGTCATGATGAGGTTAATATCCTTTTAAATTAAAAATGAGAAAAAAACTGCATTTCACTGAATTGGGGGTAAAATAATAGAATCTTCTTTGACGTTCAGATTTGATGTTCAACTTGAAGACTATGATCAACAAAAGATTTGCCCAACTAAAATAGGAAAAGCAACATTACAGGGAAGTAGATTGACTGTGAGATTGGTTTTCAGTTCCCTCGACAATATTGTTCAGATTCTCCTGGTTTTGTTGAGATGTGATTTCCATATTTGTTATTTCTGAAGGGCACATAGTTTGAAGTTCTGAAACATTTGTGCGTAGATTTTTTTTTTCTATTTGACTGTACATGTTAGCTACTGATTTTTCAAGTTCTGCTAAGTTTTTAACATGTTTGAGGATGCCTTTTGGTTCTCTCTGAGGATCTGTTTTACACACTGTTGTTGTTGTTGATAGGTGTGTCATAGAGGACTTAATTTCCTCGGCAGGCATTGTGTTGGTCGTGCATTTAATACCTGTTATACAGACACATTCTGTGGACAGAAATGAAGCTGAAGGAGGTGGTGGGCAAGGAATAGAAGGAGGTGGTGGAGGAAGAGTTGGAAATGGAGGTAGAAGAGGTGGAGTTTGGGGACCAGAAGAAGGAACAGATGGTGGAAAAAGTGGAGGAGGAGGAGGAAGAGGAAGAGGGATAGAAGGAGGAGGACAAGAAAGAGAAAAAGGAGGAATGTCAGGAGGAGGAGCAGGAGGAGCAGGAGCAGATGGAGGAGGAGGAGGAGAAATAGGGAGACAGGCAGAAGGAGGGGAGATGTTTGGTGGATGGGAAAAATTTTCAAAAATATTTCTTTCATTTTCAACAGCTAACATACAAATAGGTGTCTCTCTCCTAGAGAGTGAAGAATTTAAAACACAGGGCCTCAAAGGAGAAAGTTCCAAGGAACACTCAGCAGGAGAAGAGATGACATTAGGTTCTGATTTGAGTTCCACAGTTCTTGAAACAGTTGGCAAAGTGGAGAATGAGAAGTGAGGCCTGGGAAAGCAAAATGAAGAGTCTGAAGCGAGAGATTTCAATGGTTCTGTTCCTTTTATAATCAGTGTTTCACCTTGCCTTATTTCCTCTTTCTCTGTCAAATTTGCCTCTTCAGTTGTAAGCAATGGATTGCTGCTACCTCTTTTGATTGTACAGACTCCAGTGTTTTCATTTTCATCTTTCTGCCTGGTGCCTTGCCACTGCTGAAGATTTATGATCTCTGGTCTATTTGGAACTTTCCTCCTCAGCCTCCTGGGTAAGCTGACTGACTGACTCCAGAGCCTCTGAATCTTTTCTCTTGGGCCCCTCAGAGACTTACTCTTGGCTTGTGTTATGGGTAAAAATGGGTCTGCAAAATCTGTTCTCAATGACATGTCTGGATTTGTTGATACTTGACTTATGTTTTCTTTATAAAGGGGATTATGGGCACTTAAGGCATCCTCATCAGATAGAAATGTTAATTTTCTTGCAGACTTCGGATTGTTGCTCTTAAGTGATCCATCTACATGAGCTGACTTGTGAGCCTCAATAGTATTGGAAGAAAAGGGCATCACAACTTGTTGATGCTTCCTGTCTTCTGAGACTGAGTTATTTCCCCTGCTTTGTTGAAAATGGTAGAGAAGGAAAAGACTTGAAAGAAAAGAAGATAATGAAATGTAAGGAAACAGGTTGTGACACAGCTTTCGTGAGAAAGATGTTTTTATGGCTCTCATTACTATTAAATACTTAAAAACATAAAAAGCCAAACAAACAGTACTAACCTGCTAAAGCAAGACATCATCTTAAGAAGTCCCTGGTCTAAGAAAGGTAGGGCGGGAAAATCTTAGAGTTGTGAGTAGAATGAGAAATGTAAATGAAAAAAAGTACTAATCTCTAAAATATTTTAGAAGAGTATTTTTTGTTTTTTCAGTTAGTGTGATACAGCAAAGCATCCATGTCCACATATAACAGTTCCCTTGTGAGCAAATCAGTTCTCTTTGCAGAACACCATCAAAGCTATCGACTTCGTATGTTTTCCTGGCCTAAGAATGCTCAAGGCTGCCTGTTATGCATAGAAGATCCTTAGCTGTATCTGATTCAGTACCTGTTCCTTATCTCTCATTTCAGGATTTCTGTCCTAGAGCCAAAAGTAATCTCCTCTATGAGCCAACATTTGGGATATCCTATTCTCCAGATTAAGAGAATTGACATTACCAAGGAGAGGTGGGAGTTTGTCTTACAGAGTTCAGAAACCACAGTTGAGAAATTGAATGTATGCTAGAATCATGGCTGAATTTTTCTTGTTTAAATTTTGTGCTTGATTAGTTTTAAAATCTTATACATAATACCAAGCAGAAAAATTTGTTTTTAATAGCAATCAGAAAAGGTGTTGCCAGTAATTCCTTAGACTCATCTGCATCATATTTTAAATTAAGACTCACCTTAACAAAAAGACTGATGCTTAAAAAACATTGCTTTGATATCACTAAAAGAAAGATTTACTCATGCATGAAAACTGAACCATATGTAGCTGTGAGTCATAAATAAAGTTAAATACATCAAAGATCACAAATTAAATGGCTCTAAGGAAAGCATTTGGACCCTTCTCCCCGAAATGCTGGCTGATAGGTGGTTCTAAATAGTTTCTCATTAGGTTTTATTCTCAGCTAAAACAGGATTACATTTATTTTAGTTACTGTTTAATATTGACCCACTTAGCAGGAATGAAATACAAAATATTCTGAATAGAAATTAAGTAGGCATATTGATAAGTTGGGCAATAAAATAATAAATGAAGCCATAGTTGTTAATGTGTCATTTGGAAAAGATACGAACTGTAAGAAGCAATTCACACGGGTAGACCTGGAGCATTGAGCCTACTTGAACAACTCAGAAAATGCAGACAATTATTTGGACTAAATAGAGAGCAATTTTACTTCTTCAGAATCTTGAAAACTATTTTTCAAATATGGAAAGAACTGGGTTTGATACTATATACTAGTTGTTTTTCTATACATTTGTTCTTGGTTTGATTTCTCTTGGAAAAGCACCCAATGGATATAACAATATCACATCACTTTGAAATAAATCTATAAATAGGTTTCTACTTATAGATTTATAAATCTTAAGTCCTTAAAATTTAATAATTTTTTAAAACTAATTTAAAAAATTTAAAAACTCCTTTCTGCATTCACAGGTACTATGACAGAAAACATACATTTTAACTCATGCTATCAGAAGAAAATTGGGTGTGGAAGACAAAACTTTCCTTTTAAAAGTAAGTGACTCTGTGGCAAAAGATGATGATTTCTGTGTTTATAGTACAACAGCATTTGAATCTATTCTATTGCATCTACTTTTCTAATGCTCTTCTATTAGAGTAATATTATTTACTTACTTATGCCTATGTATCCACAGGTGAGAAACAGAAAACATGTGATAGAAAAAAAGAAGTTTTAACTATAGTTAATTTAAGACAATTCTGAAAATATGAGCAGGAGCTCTCTTTAAACATTTAGTACATATATAAAAAAATGCATTTTTAATATTTTGTTATTATTCATAAGCAGGACATGTAATCTTAGATGAAATCAAATGACATTTATTTGAATGTCTTTTCACAGAAAATCATATCTAACAAAATCTATTTACTACATACACATAGGTAAAATTTACTTCTATTAAACCTGGATGATGCAAACCCTAAAATAAAAATTGTAAATGAGAATCTAAGAATTACTTCTGTATCCTAACTCTGTAAAACTGGTTAATGCACACTGACTTTTAAAGAAGATATTAAGTTGCATATTTAGTTTCTAGTAAATATAAAACTACTATGATAATTACAAAGTAACTGTAGAATTCACATGAAGTTACTACTCTGTGAAGTTTTTTCCAAAATGACCTTTGATTTTATTCTTTTTAAAATAAATAATTGATAATTCATTTGAACCTAGTTCATTTTCTAGTAACATGCTTAGAATTCCTATAAAAAGTTCTTGAATAGCTAGGTTAAACATCTCCTAAAATTAAGATAATTAAATATGTAGAAATTAAAGTATTTCAACGAATAAATATACAATTGCAAAATCTACTGAGTGTACTACAATTGTTCAAGTAAAAATAGTCTTAGGTGTTGCTATTTGAGAACTACTACCATCAAACTATATTGATTCCATATGATTTTACAGTATACCTGTTTTTATTAATTCAAAATGAATATGATTTAATTCATTAATTTCCTACATAAACACACTTAACTTTATAAAAATTCTTTTTTAGTTTCTAAAGATCTTTGCTTGAGAGAGGTCGTTAATCAAATAGAATAAAATCATATTGGCTCAATTCCTACATTCACCAATAATTACAAAAGAAACAATCATTTTGAACTTAGGAAAAAAGTAAAAGTATATACCTAAAGCATGAGCCCTGTATTATGTTATTTTGGAAATAGCTATTTTAAATTTAGTTTTTGTGTTAAAATAATAGTATTAAAATCAATTTTAGCATTAATAAGACTATCCTAAACATAACGTTGTATACATTATTAATACGGTAAGTAACATGAATACATTTGTTTAAAACCAGTTTTTCCATTACCAGATCATTTTCATGATTTTTGAGGCTTGTTTTATTTCTACTAGTAACTGTTACAAATATCACATGTAAAACATGTTATAGTCCTTTCACTCCTCCAAATTCCAGTTAATGGCACATTTTCTGGATTTGTCATATGCAAAACGGTATAATATTCTTGGTTGTTTTACATACCATGTCCAAAAGTAGTTATTCTTGAATTTTTAAAATATTGACAAACTGAACATCACCATAGGGAATCCAATTATGAGGGTAGCGTCATTATACAAGCAGCTGTGACATCTTTTAACAGTTACTAGTGTCTTTCAAAAATGAATGATTTTTAAATTGACTAAAAATTTCAAATCATGCATTCAGTAACCACAGCAGTCTGAGAATAATATAGTGAAAAAAAAGCATTTTCTACGTAGTTGGGAATTAAATATACAAATTCTTTCTTTTCACTGAGATTTTAAGTTCTACATCTTACAATGTCCTAAAAGTAGTATCTTTAAAAAAGTCTATGATTTTAGACCATAGAATTTGGTTTGATGACCAAACAGTGATTGGTTTGGATACCTAATCAGGATCTACTTTATGATTGTGCTTTATTTCTCTCATCGCCTACACAAAAATATATTTTTTCAGAATGTATTCATATATATAATACACATTATATATATGTGAAAATGCATTACCCTGAGGATTGAGATATTACATATTATACTCAAGCTATAAATCTGCGATTGTCTCCCAAAGTTGAATTCTGCTTTTGTCTTAGCTTTCTTTAATTTCTTTTTTGGTTGTGGCTATTATTTTCAGCTTAACTTTTCTTAGATCTTCAATAGAATAAAATAGTCCACGTAGGCATTTCCACATCCGATTGAAAATAAGTACTCACCACACAGCATTCACTAAAACCCAACTACTTCTCAGAGTTCCTGAAAGATTACTTACATTGAGCTGTCTCCAAGTTCTTCATAGAGATGCGCACCCGGCGGAGGCGGCGGTGGCGGCGGGGGCGCTGCTACTGGTGCAGGGGCCGGCGCTGCTGGTTTAGCCGCGGGTAATGCGGCCTGAATTCGTGCAGTCTTTGTGCACTCAGCTTGACGTCTTGGGTAAAGTAAGGATGTCTTGTAAAACTCATTTCAGAAATCATATGCTTATCAATAAGCTACCTTTTAATAATGGGGTCCAATTACAGGGGACCCTACAATTATTTTACAAGAACATTTGACTTTATAAACGGATACAATTACAAAAGCACCCCTAGACGGTATCATTTACATATAATCCCCTTTGATCTTGAAAATAGTTATCGCTTGAATAAGGGGTAGAATTCAGTAGAAATATTTGCAAATTAAATTAAATGATAATATTAAAGAGAGAAAGCAAAATATTTATTAAAATGTGATGGATAATTGGTAGTTTAATGAATCTCTTTCATAAGGTGAGGCATATTATCTTTCGTTATCACTTGTCTTTTTTAAGTAATTTGAAAAAGATTTGAAAGAAAGATTTTTGACGTAATTTAACAGAGGCTGTACCCACATGTACAAAGGAAATTTGGTTAGCTTTAAGATTCCTAGGAAAGCCTGTCATTCTCATGTTACAGCTACACTGCTGTTTTTGGGTTTCTTGGACACTGATTAATATCTTCCTCAAACCCAAGAGGTTACAGGATGGAAGCTATAGGCAAACTATCTTTTTTACATTTACACAAGTTATGTCTGCCTAAAATTAGCTCAATTCTATATATATCTAACCAAAAAATAAACTATTACAAATGCAAAACACAGGAATAATAGGTGGTTCTGGGCAGGCTGACTTGATTGATAAAATCTCAGGATTCTCTTTTCCTATTATATGAAAAGGATGTGTAAAATGTTAATTATACTTACACTTTAAACCTGTTTTGGAAAGCAATGAGTAAGAAAATAGAAAGTTACATTAGAAATACTGCATTCATAATATTTTCACATCTGATGTATTCTAAAGCATGAATAATTTATAGGTTAAATTCATAATGACATAGAGTTAATGACAGAGTAAGAAGACTACATCAGTTTGAAAGATGAAATGGTATTGTTACTGTTAGAGTCATTCAAGCCATTAAAATATCCTTACAGAAAAATAAAGAAATGGACTACATGGAATAAGAAAAACTGGATTAAAACATAAATATGAGAATTTCAACTCTAGTAGAAAAACAGAATATTCAGATGATATAATCTTTATAATTGGCTTCTAGGTTTACCCTGCTTGAAGAGTATTACAGGAATGGAGTGAGGCAGCAAGCCCTGGTTATACTCTCGGCCACACATTGAAGCTAAAGCTACAATTGGAAGGTCTCAGTCTTGGGTAATAAGTTTATGACACTTTCTTCATATTTGCTTTTTATTTTCCATTCATAGCAAAGTTCAAAGGCACATCATTATATAAAAGAATAGCTATTCATTCTTGTTTGGAAGCCAACACAAAAGTATAAATGTTAGGTCTTTAAATATTAGAATTTTACTTTGCTATATGAGCAGAGAAAAACTCATTTTGTTCAATTCTGTTAATCTATAAAAAGCAGTAACAAATAAATTCATAGGGTATTAAGCTGCTTATCATACTGCAGGAGAATTAAATAATAAATAATGCATCTATAATTTCTTTAAATATTAAATATCTCAAGTTTTTGCTACATTTCAGACTACTGAGTATTATAGCCAGGGTGCGTCAGTTTTAATCATTGCATAGTGTGTCAAATATAAGAATATTTCTCGCTGATTTTATTGCTAGTGGGATATAATAAAGCTCTTTAGAAAATAGTTAAATGGACAAGGATAATTGGTAATATGGAATGGATTTTAACATGAGAATTAATAACAGGTTGATGGCTTAATAATTTAAAATAATATTAAGTTTGTTCATCAGCTTTAGATTTCGTATATCAATTGATTTGTTAAGGTTATATTAAGCTCCAGTATATCAACCCTAATGCTATATTTGCAACTTCACATTGCTTTTGTGGTAGAAAATATTTCTGTATTTTCAGGTTGGAATTACTTGAAAAGTAATGACCTGCTTGAAAAATATTAAAAGAATGGAGTTATACAGCAAGTCCTGGTTATACTCTTGGCCTCATTTTGAAACTGAAGCTAGAATTGGAAGGTCCACTTCTGGGTAATAAATTCATGATACTTTTTTTTTCATATTTACTTTTTAGTTTCCATTCATAACAAAGTTCATGCAGAGCAGACTTTGGGATTTTCTGGTTGGAATTACCTTACCTTATTCAATTCACAAGAAAATAATTTTCAGTGTTTGAGAACAAAGATGACCTTTTAGGAATACATAAGGACTATTGGCTGGGTGTGGTGAGTCATGCCTCTAATCCCAGCACTTTGGGAGGTTAAGGTGGGTGGATCATGAGGTCAGGAGTTCAAGATTAGCTTGACCAACATGGTGAAACCCCATCTCTACTAAAAATACAAAAATTAGCCAGGTGTGGGTGGCATACGCCTGTTATCCCAGCTACTCAGAAAGCTGAGGCAAGAGAATCCCTTGAACCCAGGAGGCGGAAGTTGCAGTGAGCTGAGATGGCACCAGTGCACTCCAGCTTTGGCAACTTAGCAAGATTCCATCTCAAAAAAAAGAATACATAAGGACTATTTTAGTACTCCCTCTGTAGAGTTTACATGATGAATAACAGTTCTGCCATTATTCTTATTGTTTATTACATAAAGTAATTTACATGATTTATTAAAGCTGTCTGCTATTTATTTTCTTTTTGTGACACACTCAGGGCAACTTCTCTTCTTAATCAGCTACCCAGTTTTATTCAAGTCATTGTCAATAGAAATATACTTAAAATGTGTGGCTCCCTGTTACAAAGCTTCCCCAGACCTAATGTCAGACAAATAATATATTACTAACTTACTTCCAATATAGATGTTTAAACTAGTGATAATTACTTGACTACTGTAGAGAAGTTAAGTACAATTTTAAAGTATAGATACTGTCAGTGGATGCACTTGACTGCAGGAACCAGAAAATGTAGGCGCCCACACAGCCAGAATATGCTGTCAAATATTGTACTAGAAACTCTGGCAAAGCACCCAGGAAGGAAGAAACCACATAGAAAATTACATCTTATATGCTATGATTTTACAGTGCTTTTGCTAACACTGTGATCATTTGCACAAAGGCAAATTTAATAGTTTGGATAAAAACCTATCATGAAAATCTAGAGAGGTTACCGACCTTCCTTTAGAGCTGGGCGGAGTGGTCAGCTGCATAAGACATGCCACTGCTTTTACCCCAGGATACCTGCCACTTTCTCTCCTGAGTTGACTCTTAAGCAAAAGAAGAGCATAAACCAACCCACAGGAACTAAGGTAATATTTCTATTGGAAGAGACCATATTAGAATCACAGGGATATTGGATCATCTGTGAAAACGATACTAGGAGTTTCAACTGTTTTCCTTTTGAGGAAGATTATTTGGTACAAGACAGACAGATAGATAAAGCAATCTCAGAGTAGTTGCACCATCACTATTTTACAATGCAAAGCCATGTTACCGAGATGATTTTCTGCAATGCCTTCTGAGGAACTATCCATGTTTACCATCCTTGAATACTTACTGTCTGTAGCTGACCAAAACCACCAAGATGGCAGGAATGCAGCAGAGGATGATGATGAAGGCCAGAGCCAGCAAGGCCCCTTCTGTATATCCTAGACTCTCTCCTCTCTTTTTAATGCTGGTCACTGCCTCTGGAGTCCGGATCTCCAGAATGCGTCCTCCTTCCCCATAATATGGCTGAAAGTCTTTATTGATATCAAGCAGTTTGCCATCCAAAAATCTTTATAGTTAGATAAATAGTGAAATTAATGATGTTAGCAGAGAAAGAGCATTTTAAAAATAAAATCTCTTCTTGTAAGATCTTAATATTTTCTCTAATTGAAACACAAGCTGAGTCAGAAGTCTCATGACTACTAAGAAATGCATATATAAAAAGCACGAGGAATAAAGAAGAGACATTACACATCTGTATGTAAATATAAAAAATAGTTAAAACCACAGCTCTTACCTGATATGCTTACAGACTTAAAAAATCTATCAGTATCATTAAGCTTAATATCATTGTGTTAAAATAATTTAACAGGTTTTTTAGATGGAATAAAATATATCTAAATTATATACCATAGTTTAATATTTATGCATTTTATCCCCTGGGGTCCTTAGTATAACCCTGGAAAAATGGAACATTACAATACTGACTTATTGCAGGCCAAAAAGCTATACATTTATAAAAACAAATCTAAGGCACCAAACTAAGTTTTCAGACTCAAACTCTGTATTTGTTTGCCATAGCACCATCTTAAATCTAAACACCTTCAGGTTTCAAACCAAAACAATGTTTTGTGGTCAAAGAGTGAAGACATTGTAAAGGCTCTTCTGCCTAGGAAAGAGACTAAATAAATGATGCAGTAGTATATCAGTGCTGGAAGAAGGACAGGAAGTGGTAGTCAATGTAATTCCTTCCTCTAAATCATGCAGTTTCAACTATGGGTCTTGCTCTGTGGAAGAGAATCAAGGAATAATAATTGTTCCTAATCTTATGAGACTGAAAAACTTTGTTATGTATTTATTTAACACAACAATTAGCAGGTGGTGTTTTTTCACATTTCCTTGGGAACTTTTGAACAGTCCCTTATAAGCACTACATATTGATGCAACAATTGTGTTCTTACTACACCACCATAAAGGTCTTACTATAGAACATTGGAAAACAAAAATAGTTCAAGAAAAACTTAATTACTCATAGTCCTATGATCTACAGACAACCATAATCGCTGCTAACATCTTGGCATATTTAAAGTCTAATCTTTTTTTTGAAGCTGTGGTATTAAATATTTTATATACTTGATTATACTACATAAATAAAGTGAAAAATTATTCTTGAGATCTACTTCTTAATATAAAAATAACATTCTTATTTTGAAAAATACAGAAAACAAGAATAAATGCAAAAGAAAAAAAGAAAAATGGCCCCAAATTTTGCTATCAAAATATAATCAAGGCCGTGTTTGTATGCTTTTTTCAGTCTACTTTTTATGCCTTTTGGAAACTTTTAATTTTCAGAGTGACCATGCTGATTTTAAATCCTGTTACTACACTGTTCATTGCAAAAAAAAGAAGTGCCTGTTATCACATATGAATTACATCACATATGGATCTCATAAATGAATTCATATCACACATGTGGCTATTAGAATGCTTTTTTGGCTTTTTGTTTTAAAAAACAGATATGCTTCGTAGATTAAAAATGAACTTTTGGTAGCAATTTTCCAAGCTCATTGTTATACACTTTAAAAGAAAATAACACAGCCATTTTCATGAGTACTAGAAATAGAATAGTGAAACTTTTTGTTTAAATTACTTATCAGATAAAGAAAGAGATTCTAAATTATGCATAGATCAAGAAAATGCTTCATAGGAACTATATTATTAGACCTAGGAAGAATCAAATGCAGAAGAGGATCATTCATTTAAGGGAAGACTATATCCCTACCATGTGCAGTTCACTTGACAGATCAAAATTCTATTGGATTCCTGTACTTCATGTCCAAAATCTCTAAAGGAAGACTCATTAGTCTTTTTAAACTATAACAGCTCTATTATTTAGATATTTATTTTTACTTATTTATCAATGTGATCTCATAAGTAATTTTTTACTAGAAGGATGAATCACTTTTGAACCCACACCTGATCTAGACTGCCTTTCTTCCACTTTGTGTATTTAAAACAACTTGCGTAGGTAAAAATTATCCCTTACAGAACAGTGAAATTGGTTCCATTGCCTTTGTCATTTTTTCGTGCAAATGAGATGATACACAGGGCTTAACTAACGTTTGTTCCTTTACGAGTAAGATATTTTTATTTCTGTTTGTGATTTTTAAACATATTCAGATACTATTTAAAGTAACACAGCTATCGTTTCATTGATTTTTGGCTGTACTATAATAAAGTCTTTAATTCTTTACTTGTTTTTTTGCTTCTGTTATAAATACTACAGTTTTTAATCCCAGAAATACCTGTCATTATCAGATTGTCTTTTAATCATCCAATAAATGTACTCTGATATCCTATTTATATCTTTTTTCCTTTTTCTTTATATTGCATGAGCTTTCAATGGATACACGTCATGTTGTCAGTGTAATTTTCATACATCTTCTCATTTCAGAAAAGAATGGAAATTGTAACAAACAGTCTCTCAGACCACAGTGCAATCACATTAGAACTCAGGATTAAGAAACTCATTCAAAACCACACAACTACATGGAAACTAAACAACCTGCTCCTAAGTGACTACTGGATAAATAATGCAGTGAAGGCAGAAATACAGATGTTCTTCAAAACCAATGAGAATGAACACACAACCTAACAGGGGGTGAGGGGCTAGGGGAGGAAAAACAGGAGTGGGGGAGTTGGGGAGGGATAGCATTAGGAGGAATAGCTAATGTAGATGACTGGGCGATAGATGCAGCAAACCACCACCATGGCATGTGTATACCTATGTAACAAACCTGTACGATCTGCACATGTACTCCAGAACTTAAAATATAATAAATAAATTTTAAAAAATAGAAAAGGTTGAATTCAGGTACTCAGTTGATTTTAGGAGATAAAATTTAATTTATAAATTAGGCACAGGAAGATATTAACAATGATAACTAATAATAACAAAATAGAACAATCATAGAACTATACTATAATAAAAGTTATACAAATGTGGTTTCTCTCTGTGTCTGTCAATATCTTCATTGGTAACTGAAACTGAAGAAAAGCAAAACTATAGAAGAGGGTTTACTACTATGCTCCAGTTGGACTGAGGTGAAGGCACTTGATTAAAAACTACCACCATGTAGGAAAGAGGCAGTTCTCACAAGAGACAGTGGAATTCTTTTACCAGAAACAGGAGAAGAATTCAGGCCATGTAAAACACACACACCATTTCACTAATTCATATCATTTCACTTTCTTTCTTTTTTTTTTTTTTTTTTTTTGAGATAGAGTTTTGCTCTGTTGCCTAGGCTGGAGTGCAATGGTGTGGTCTTGGCTCACTGCAACCTCCACCTCCCAGGTTCATGTGAGTCTCCTACCTCAGCCTCCCAAGTGGCTGGGATTACAGGTGCCTGCCACTACACCCAGCAATTATTGTATTTTTAGTAGAGATGGGTTTTCACCAAGCTGGCCAGGCTGATCTCAAACACCTGACCTCGTGATCTGCCTGCCTTGGCCTCCCAAAGTCCTGAGATTACAGGCATGAGCGCCCAGCCCATTCTGCTTTCTCCTGAAAATGTTAAACTGCTGTCCAGTGGTTTCTCTAGGAGAAAATTTTCAGTTATATATTCTCCCAGGTTCATCAGATTATTTCCTGATTTCCATATTGATTTTGTTTTTTAGTATTTATTTCTGATCCTATTTTCCACTTCTTGCTTATCCTGAAAAACAGATAGATCTGTCTCAATCCAGCTTTCTACAAAGAAACATGATTTTTCTCTTCATTTTCATCTTCAGTATACTCAGTTTACTGTACGCAAACATTTTGGAATTCTAAGAGCGAGTATACAGTTCCCTTCCCAGGATGTGTTCAACATGAATTGATTATTGCTATGTTATCCTGAGATGAGATAAGGTCCTAAACCAATGTCATGTCTTCTTATTTTCTCAAGCACATGCAAACATGTATTTTTGCCTCCATTGACGGATTTGGGGCAGAATGTTGTGTCATTCAGCATATAATGTATAATCAACAGTCTAGATTGCACCTCACCTTCATGACTGATTACCTTGATGGTGATTTTGATATTGCAATGTACATATGAATGCAGGAGGAAAGAAGTAAAGGGTGAGCAGAAGATGGTACTTTATATAGTAGAGGGACAACTGCCTATCTCCTTCATAGGTACACAATTTAGGTTTACACAGTGGGCAATGGTTAACATATTCACCCACATTCATTGCATTGTATAGTATTGTTCTGCTTAATGAAGCAAATCATGGTTAGATCATCAACAATTTTCTCTTCACAGCTCCATAATTATTTAACTAGATTATAATGATTAGTATTTCATTGATTTTGGATTTTCTGTATTTTGAATTGATAGGAGATTACAAGATGCTTTATCAGAGCTTGGTAGTCAGATCCATTTAAAGTCAAAGTGTGTTTTTAAACATTGTGCTTTTAAAGGGAGTTTGTAGAGTATAAAGTCTTTTTCTACTTTCTCTTACTATTTGGACATACTGTTTTTAAATAGGCTGGACATAAGGCATATAAGCTAAAATGTATTTGCTTATTTTTAAATTTTATTTAAACTATATTTTAAAGTAGTGTGGTCTGTTTTGTGTAGAACGCAGAAATCCATAAGAGAATATTGCTATTAACAGCAATGACGAAATCACACAAAAAGTACAAGGTTCTACTAAAATCACAAATTTCCTTGAGCTGATATCACAATGTGAACAAAAAAAAAAACAAATTTCAATGAGTGACAATAAGGACAATCTCAAGGTGAGATGTGACCATATATTGTTTCACCTTTGGCAGAACAAGGTTAAGAGTGGCTGCCATAGGCTGGGCACAGTGACTCATGCCTGTAACCTCAACACTTTGGGAGACTGAGGGGACGATTACTTGAGCCCAGGAATTTGACATCAGCCTGAGTAATAAAGTGAGACCACTGTCTCTACAAAAAAACAAAACAAAACAAATAAACATCTAAAATTGTAATAAATCAGACTAGATTTACAGAGACCCACAAACACAAGGGGAGTTTGCACTCATTCAAAAACATTTTTGTATAGATTTCTGTAAAACAGATTGGGGGACAAGGAAGGACACAAGAGAATACTCCTTCATGGTGTAGGAACAGGAAAAAATCAGGTAAGTCTGATGCACAGGCAGAAACCCCTATGCAATTTCCCAGACCCTTATCTCATATAAAACAAGAGCCGTAAGTGTTGGAGGAGGAGTAAGTGTGTCCAACCCTGTTGCTCAGGCAAAGATCTACTGATTCTGGAAAAGAGGTATAAGCAAAAATCCCCTGCCCCTGGGGAAGGAGGAAGAAGTCCTCTCCGACCTAAGATCCTGCACCAGTACCAAGTAGAGGTCTACTACGGATTGAGAAGGAGCAGAAAATCTCTTGCATCCAAGACCCCCTGCAAATGTGAAGCAGAGGATAGCTGCCATGATGGCATAAGAAAGAAGGAGGAAAAAACTTGAGAAGGCACACACCAGGGCTTACACCTCCAAGCTGTACAAGGAGAGCAGAGGAACCCCAATTCCATGCCCCAACTCTTCCATAAGAGTGGAACCCAGCAACAAGAAGGAGCAGGCTAAAACTGGGACTGATCAGAGGGTGGACACAATCCTCCTCTGTGGAACAGGCATGTAGAAAACAATGAGAGCTGAGGACTGAGTGAGAAGACTGAGAAAACCCCACAGCACTCAGCCTCTATGCTAAAAATGAGTTGACACCATTTCACCAATAGAAGAATCTGAAGCGTTTGACACAGCAGAAGCAATAATTTTCATGGCAAAATCTCAATAATTCCTGAATAGCTTTACTCAACAGAATAAATGCCTGTAACGTCCATTTACAGGTCTAAACTCTGTTTATCTCAGTCCTTACTGTTCTTCCACACAATGTGTGGCATTTAGCCAAGCAGGGCACAAAAAGGCTACAAAATAAAAAACAACAGTGTTCTGGAAATAAAGTAACAGAAGCACATAGAGATAGCCCAGATATTGGAACTATCAGATAGGAACTTTGATTCAACTCTGATTAATACATTACAGAGAAGCAGAAAGCACAAACATGCCTGAAGAGATGGAGAAATTCAGTAGAGTGGTGGAAATAAGAAATAATGTAACAGAAAGGCTAGAATTATCTTTTTAAGAAAGATATCAAAATGAAGAATTTCTTCAGTGAGATCAACAGACTAAAGAATTTCTTCAGTGAGATCAACAGACTAAAGAATTTCTTCAGTGAGATCACTAAGACAGATGAATTAGTGAATTTAAAATGGGGCAGTAAATATTATTCACACTAAAATACAAAGAAAAAAACTGTGTGTGTATATGGCCGGGGGGCAGGGGGACAGGGGTGGAGGGGAACAGAGCCAGAACAGAACATCTGAAAGTTATGAGAAATATTAAATTGGAATTAGAATCCCAGCAAAGGAATAAAGAGAAAATGGGGCATAAGAAATATTAGAAAAAAATGTCTGAGAATATTTCAGAAATAAAAAAGCAAAAAACTCAAAAGCAAACTAACAAAATTGCAGCTCCAATAAGTTGAGAACTACAAGGATAAAAAAGCAGGATAAGAGTAATATATAATTATTGCAGAAAATCTAAGCAATCCAGGTAACCAAAAATAAAAAATTAAAATACCAATAAGCTTGCCAAACAAAATAAGTTATTAACATGTCACTAAAAGTAATCCCACCATTCTCTATGCATTTATGAGCTTTTTATTTTTGACTGTCAAAATAGTTTTTTTCTCAAATAAAAGCTCTGAGGATGAATGATTATTAGTATGATTTCTAATCCTTTGAGTCAAGAATTTCAACATCCTCAGAAGCTTAGATTTTAAGATGAAAGGATATTGAGAGAATACTTCCGTTGACCTGCACAGGCATCTTAATGATCAAGTACACTTATTCAGTGATAAAAACTAAGTAATCAGTAACTTTTATAACTACTGAATAGACAATAATACTTGGGCATTATCAGCCTTGGATTACATGCACGTGCAGACACACACATTTACACACATATGTATATGCATCTATATATTATTTTAAAGTCTTTCAAGAAACAATTCTAGAGTTTAAAATAGAGCAGTGATTCTAAGTATTCTATAATACTTCAAGGTGAAGATCACTAAGGCAAAATTTTAATATTTAATGGCTACTGTATGTTTTCTTCAGTATGAAAATTTATTTTATGATTTATATCTATTTACTGTTTTTCCCTTGCCTGGTGGCTATGATAATTATCTTATTCAATTTATATCTTTACACTCCATGATATAATTTAGGTTTGAAAAACTTACTTAGAATGAAGGATGTTGATCTTGTATTTCATGGTGTCAGTTGAAACTCAAGAGGCTTTTTTTCTCTGAATATTATCTCTAGAAGGTGTGCTAGATAAATTCCAATTCTAATCATCATTATTTTATTCTTTAAAGTCAGCTTAAATGTAATAAATATTTTTATATTTACAGAAAAAGACCCTAAACTCAAGCTATTATGAAATTGAAAAATAAAACGAATGTATGCAAAAAACACAGAATGCAGGTAGAGTCACATAAAGAAGAAATGTGTTAATTTTCTGACAATTCATGGAAGGAATATAAGAATTACTTTGAAAGCCTACTCCTAAATCAACTTTTAAAATTAATAACATGTACAAAAAATTGGCTAGGTAGATCTAAATGTTGTTTCATTTTGATGCTGGCTGTAACATCAGAGTGAAAGCTATTACTTCATTCACATGTCAGTATCCTGTTTTGCACATGGCACAAATGTCTATTAAAAATGAATTGATAAATAGCATGTTTAATAACTATGGCTTTTAAAAAATTTTACTTGATATTAAATCGTTATTTTATTATTGCCAAAGTAGAAGTGATGAAATTTTGTTGATGAACAGATTTAAAATAAAACTAAATTCAGAATTTGATTTGAATACAAATTGAATAAATACATATTTACATATACATATATTTGTAAATGTGTATATGGGAATATTTATATGCTGTTTAGAAAGGATAGACAAAGAAAAACCAAATCATGAAATTATGATGTTTTGCATATAGAGTTTGGAATGACTGTGTATACATGTACATATAAACTATTATTATTGTATATCAATATTTTTAACTATAAAACGTTTCCTATAGAATTTCATTCCAAGACCGTTTTGGACACTAGGTGTCACTAGAGTACAGAAAAATCTATTAACAATTTTTTTTTTTTTTTTAAGTAAGCTCAAATATCATCCAAAGGAAAATAAGTAGGATTTTGTTTAAGAGTCTGCATTTTATTTACTTTAGAATTTATAACTCAAATATTTAAGTTCATGCTAGGATGAAATTTCACATAGAGCATGGACATAAATTGGATTGATTATTTCACCTGCTCTCTAAGTTAAGTTACCAATTTTTGCTGATTTAGCAGACCTGTAAGAAAGCTGGATTTCTCTTAAAATGCAAGCATATGAAAAAGCATTGCAGACAAACGGCTAGTTTAAGAATCTGTGCTTTCCCCTCAAACAGCCAAAGTCCTTGAGCAAGAGTGAGGAGCTGGTGATTCCAAGGAGCTGTTCCTTGTTTACAAGTACAACAGGTCCTCTGATGCCCATAAAGAAAACAGGCCCTCTGAAATCACTCACTGTAGCCTACATTTAGACCTGAAAATTTTAGGTATGAGGACCCTAGGTATTGTTTGCTTTTGCTTCACTTTCAACAACTATTTGGTGGGTTTAAAACTTGAAGTATTTACATCCTTAAATAAAAAATCACATATGGTTGCTATTGTAACCAGACAGTTGTTACAGATAACAAAAAGCACTTACTTGAAAAGCTCTTTTCTATCGATGGCTCTGTTGGTTTGGGGGTCGATTGCATAGACAGTCAAGTCACATTTGGTATAATCTTCTAGGGAAAAGGCATCCCCATGCCGGCGAGCTCCAATGGACTCTACTACGACCTTGGCACCAGGAATCTGTTCCTGAACATAGCGATCCAAGATCCTATAAATCAAACAAAGTACAAACATGACAGTCCAATGGGCTTTCTGGGAGAAAACAAATTACTTTCAACTTGAAAAGACATTTAGTAGGTTAAAAATGACGTCAGCCTGGTTCTTGTTAATGTTTACTGAATATAAACCCTTGAAAAACATTCTCTATATTTTTTCAGCATTTAGCTCCCAATGATACTAGAAACTGAATAAAGTAGAAAAGGTCACCAACCATGTCCTATTTAACTTTAGGCTGTTTGAATTTATGGTACCATTAGAACTTTTTACATGGCTCCTGGGAAATGCCTAATACGCCGTACAAACAAAGCTGTCCAGGCTTTATAGGAGTCATGGGGTCTTAGAACTCTTGACTTCATATGGTTGGTGTCATAAATTACATCTCCCACTAGAGTCTGTGACACTTGACACATAGCTATATGCTAAGAAGCAGGGCTAGGATGCCTGTTTCCCCAAAGGTATAAAAATCCTTACAGAATCAGCAGTGGGAGATTGCGGAGCTATTTTTGCAATGGCAGGATTACCACGTTAAGATAAAAACATGGCATGCAAATCTCAGATGCTATTTAGGTGAATAAAAACAACATATGCCATTTCATATAAATTACTGATACTCATTTAAAAAGTAGAGACAATGTTAATCAATAAATTTTTTCCCATCTCATCACTACACTTTAATTGACAGTGTGATTTATTACCATTTCCCGAATGTCCCATCCCTTATTAAAAACTTTACATTATTAACCCAAGTATAGAAATATTAGGAACATATATTTCACTATTTGTAGATGTTTAACTTTAAATAATTTTAATTACTACATATGGTAAATATTCTAAAATTTACAGACTCAGTGTTCCTTTTAGAGTCTATACTTTGAGGGTTTATTTGGAGAAAAGGGCATTCTATTCTTAAGTCCTTTGATACATCAGAAAAAAAGCTTTTGCTTCTAATGCCAAAATTGACATATTTCTTGCTTTATTGAATGTATATTGCCTTTACAGTCTGGTATGTATTTGGTTTGTCCTTGTTACAAAAACAATGAGATAACTAAACTTTGCAGGAAATGGCTCTACCAGTGCATGCCAGGAGACTCTATCCATTATAGCACAATGTTTGTTTATAAATATTTGAAATTCAGCACTGTTGAAGTATGTCTTATTGAAGTACTATTCATTCTTTTCCTTTTCTGTCACTACTCCATGCCCACTGATCTCTCAGCTTTGCAATTTCTTTTCTGATGATGTCCTTGAAGTAGACTAAAGAAAAGATGATGTGGAAAAAAGGAGGAGGAGTAAATTCACTCGGCAAATACCAATTAATAGTTGAATGCCTGTGATTCCAGCTACTTGAGAAATGAGACAGGAGAATCTATTGAGGCCGGGAGGCGGAGGCTGCAGTGAGCTGATATTGCGCCACTACACTACGCCCTGGGTGAAAGAGGAAGACTCCATCTCAAAAAAACAAAACAAAACAAAATCCAGGCACCTGAAAATAATGGAAGTCCCTGAGATGCACAGACTACTCATTTGCACTGTGCTTTTTGGATTTTCTTCCTGAGAGATTTATGCTTATTTAACAAAAATAAGAACGGCCTCGGAGTCAAAAAAGATTATATTTTTGACATTTTGTAGGAGGCACAAACAATAAAGATACAACGCTGAAGAGCACAGAGGTTTGGCTTCAATGTTAATTTCCTTTACTTATCAGTTGCATAACCGTAGACAAGTAATCTTAAGCTCTCAAAGTCTCAGGGTGTTTTTGCTTGTTTGTGTTTTGAGATGGAGTTTTGTTCTGTTGCCCCGGCTGGAGTGCAATGAGGCAATCTTGGCTCACTGCAACCTCCACCTTCTGGGTTCAATGGATTCTCCTGCCTCACACTTGGATTACAGGCATGCACCAGCACACCTGGCTAATTTTTGTATTTTAGTAGAGAGAGGGTTTCACCATGTTGGCCAGGTTGGTCTCAAATTCCTGACCTCAAGTGATCCTCCCGTCTCCGCCTTTCAAAGTGCTGGGATTCCAGGCATGAACATCACACCTGGCCACCTCTGTTTCCTTAAACAGAAAACAAGGAAATCATGTATCACATGGGGTTGTATGTGCATTCGATGAACTCAAAGCTTTTACACAAATCTGCACAGTTCCTAGCACACAGTAAATATTCTACGAATGAATATTATTTTTATTGTTAATTTAACTGTTTCCATTAATAAGCTTCTTCCTTGTCTCAAATTCATTCAGGGTCTTTAATTAATTTGTGGAATTAATAACAAAGTATATTTATCACTAGTATCATCAGTTCACAAATCAAAATGCAAACAGGAGTATATCGTTAAATACGATGCAATAGGTGATTGTCCCAATACTATGGTCTAACAATTTATGCCTTCTCCAGTGCATTTTGGCATTAATTTGACATGTTCCTAGGAATCCCTTCATATGTGCATAGATTAACTGTTTGGGATCCTACAGTGAAGAAACGTATCTGTTGCACTTGGGTCCTTTCCTATTTTTCAGTGCAATATTGCAGAATCATGTGACGAAGAAAAATTAGATAGGGAATAAAATATAACTGTGCTAAATCCTTTATGGCATCAGAAAATCATAAATAAAAGAAGTCTAAAAACAAATGATGTCATTTAAAACTGGCAATAATGTCTTCACCGTGCACATTTTTAGTTAAACTTTTAAAGATCTTTTGGGATAAAGTATATCTTCTGATAAAAAGAGATACAGCCTAATCTTAATTGCTTCTGTATCTTTCTCTTATACATTTAGGTAAAACTAAATTTAATACCTTTAAATGAGAACACATTTTGTAAAAATCTATCTTTTCACTTATCTATGTCTATATACTAAGTATTTCCTACATCTCTCTTCATTACCTATATGTACATAGATTTCATCACATATACACATATATGTATCCCCTATACAGAGAAAAAGAGATTTGCAATGATGTTTACCTAACCTGCAATATTTGTATCATACACACACATATCAAAAAAGATGTCCATAAGATGTTCATCTAATGTAAATAATACTTAGAGCTGGATGGTATAATTTTGAGTCTACCTTATATAACTTTCTTCTTCATGTATTATATTGCTTGAATTTCTTTATAATGAAAATAAAAGAATATAGTTATATTTTTTAAAAAAATCTTTATTTCCTCTTCCTGACTTCACGATAAAAAAGTCTTCATATAAATCTATATTTTTATAGTTTAAAAATGTAAAAAATTAAACTGGATTCAGGGCTAATTAAATTATAGCAAAATTCAGGCAAGTATTAAGTAGAAACATTTTCATGTATTCTTTCCTTCAACAGATGCTTATCGAATGCCTATCCTTGGCCCGACACTGTTCCAGACACATGGAATGTATCAGTGAACAAAATACGTTCTTTGATGTCATAGAATTTACATTCAAATTAGGCAAGACAAAGAACAGATGATGAATTGATAAAACTGGTAAAAGTGTTCAGAAAAAGCATCATTGAGAATTTGATATTTGAGCAAAAACTTTAGGGAACAATGTGTGCTGTGGCTATTCTAGGAAAGAGTGTTCAAAGAAAAGAGAATTGCTAACTGCTTGTGCAAATGTCCTAATGTAGTAATGTGTGGCCAGAGCAGATACATGGGGACTTTGTTTTTTTTTGAGATGGAGTTTCACTCTTGTTGCCCAGACTGGAGGACAGTGGAATGACCTTGCTCACTGCAAACTCTGTCTCTGGGGTTTAAATGATTCTCCTGCTTCAGCCTCCTAAGTAGCTGGGATTACAGGCATGCATTGTCACGCCTGGCTAATTTTGTATTTTTAGTAGAAATTAAGTTTCTCCATGTTGGTCGGGCTGGTCTTGAACTCCCAACCTCAGGTGATCTGCCTGCCTCAGCCTCCTGAACGGCTAGGATTATAGGCATGAGACACCACTCCTGGCCACAGGGGAATTTTAGGATTGTAAGAGCATTCATTGTCTTTTGTTCTGAGTGAAATAAAAATCTGTTGCTGGGTTTTAAATACTAAAGTAATGTGATCTACCTTACATTTAAAAGAGGCACACATATTATATGCATCACTGTTATGCCTGATTAAATATTTACCCATTTACAAGAAGTATAAATCTTACAAAAGAAACCAAGAAATGTAACCAAAAACTAAAACTTATATTAATTACAGGCTGACCTATATAAACGTTGGCATTTTGTGGTTATTTTAAAATAAGTCAATTTTTATAGATCATTCTTTGTTAATGAAGAAAAACACAAAGGAGAGACTAAAGCTTACAAAAAGGAGAAACTAAAGGCGTTATTGTTTATGAAACGTACATCAAGACATAGAAGCTTTTAAAAGAGGGCAAATCTTTTCAGAGTTCAAGTTACTTCTTTCCAGCTTCTTTTGAATTCAATATGTAAGACAAACTTCTCCTCTGCTTCCTCTCAGATAGCATGAACTTTCTAAATTGTTTCTTTGGAATGTGCAGTGTTTTGTATTTGATAAAAAGTTTTCATGGTGACAGTGCTATGATAACAGTATTCTACAACAAGATATTACAGCTGATTAATATCTCAAGAAAAGTATAAGTGATTTATGACCACTTGGTGCCATATAGGGGTTGATGTCACTTTAAGTCTATAATGCGAAGAAAAATACCTTCTAATGCATAAAAATATTTTCTTCCATTTTAAGATAAGAGAGAAATAATTACTGAATGCAATGTTCTGTTAAAAAACATACCTGAGGGAATTGGAATTGCCACCTTGGCCTGTACATAACCTGGTCTCCACTAGTGTTCCCTTCCACATTACTGTGTCACCTTTGTGCTCCTCTGTGCCCCTCCTGAAGACCCACACAACGCAGACAATGGCTGGTAATCCATAAAAACATTTATTCTGTTCTCAATACTAGCTGAACTTAGGGCAACTCCCTTGTGCTAATGTCCTATAAAACACTCTGCCCTCCTTCCTAGATATTTTTGGGAGTCTTCCTATG